AAATTCGTGTTTACTTGGCCATTTGGCAATTGAGGCTCATTGAGTGTCCAAAAATGGAACTAAATCACCCACATCCCCTCCTTAATTGGCACTCCGATCGTTTCGATAATATCCGCCCCAAAAGACCACCAACCAACCAACCACCCACCCACCCAAAACTGAAAATTTCAAAAACCAAAATCCATTCTGTGCGTCAATGGAAGTCCAAAAAAAATTAGAAGAGAATTCACACTCGGAAGATTGCGAGGAGGCGGTGTGCGGGGCGGGGTAGTTGCCTGCAAATTGTTTACTTTATTAATTTTAAGCTTTCGGTAGTTAAAAAAAAAAAACACAAACACGAGAAATACTGAGAGAAATTGTTGGGGGAATGTGAATGGCGGACATTAAGCGCGTAGTGTCCATTTAAAGAGTGGGTGGTGTTGTGCCATAAGCACTGAGAGAAATAGATGGGCAATAAACAAAGCTTCAAGTCAAAAATAGACATAAAATTTTACTAAAATATTAGCTGTCTTGATTTAAAGGCTTAACTATTAATTCTCGGGAATAACTTATATTTTTGATTTATTTCAACTTTTATTGTTCTTTTTGTATTTAACTAAATATTTGTGTAAGCATTTTTTAAGCTTAAAATATTTTAAAAGTGCTTATACAATATGTTTATACAATATTATACAATATAGTAATTATAGTAATTAGTTATTTTAGTTTAAAACATTTTTAAAGGCCTTTTTAAAGATCTTTTTTGAAAAAGACATTAATTATGAAAATCAATATTTAATAATTAAAGCTCATAATAATTTAAAGCCTTATTTTTTTATTGATATAAAGTTACAAAGATTTTTTTAATAAAGCTTCTCAAAAATATAAAAACCTCTAGAATTTGTTCCCCGTGTAAGGCCAAGATTATAGAAGGTATTGAGGAAAGTGTGAAGGCATGGAGGGGAGGCATGAAGGGGAGGCAAGTGACAGTGGTATCCAAAGTGGGGGTGTCGAGTGCAAGCAATAGGTTACCCCACCCACCCCGTCACACACCCTAAAAACATACCATATACATATATAGACGATCTGATGTATCTATATGCACAGTACATACTGCGATATATCGACTCGTTATCGTCGACGTTGCCGTTTTTTGTTTTGTTTTTTTATTTTTAATTTTTTGTTGCCTTTGTTGTTTTTGTTGCTGGTGTTGACGACATCGAAGATTGTACAATTGTTTTTATTAGATAACGAATAGAAAATTAGTATTTAAGGATGGATCCGAGGCGCAACCAAGCCCTCTCCACAATTGAGAAAAATAAAAATAAAAACGGAAAAAAAGGCAATAAATTTTGAGAGAAACAATGAGCACCAATAGACAATTTAATTAAAAAACAGGAAAGAAATGAATAAAATAAAGGGGGAAGAGGAAAAACAAAGTATTCTATTATTATTTATTGTTTTTAGGTCACACATGGCGTATACTTGATTTTTATTTGTTCCTCTTGAAGGGAAATATAGGTCATCTACTGTAACTCTTATTGTGTCACGTATATCAAGTATACGCCCTGTAAGACCTTTTCCCTTCAAAAAAATCAAGTATACGCCGTGGAGGACCTATCGGGGTCACCCATATCACGTATAATCTTTATAATTTATATATAATTTATAATTTATATAATCTTTATAAGGGTCCTAATACCAAGTGTAGGCCTTGTAAAGACCTATAAGGCTCGTCAATATCAAGTATACGCCCTGTACGACCTATTTGGCTCACCAATATCAAGTATACGCCGTGGAGGACCCATTGGGGTCACCAATATCACGTATACTCCCCATAAGGGAGTAGATTTTATACCAAGTTAAGGCGTGGGATGAACCTAAAAGGTTTCAACTATATAAAGCTTTCGCCATTTGCGTCACCAATATCAAGTATACGCCTAGTATGACCTTTTTGGGTCACCAATATCAAGTGTATTATCTGTAGTTGATCTAGTTGAGTCACCAATATTAAATTATTTGCCCTTTATGAGCTAAATAGGGCTTGCAAATATTTAGTATACGCCTGGTATGACCTATTCAGGTCAGCAATATCAAGTATACGCCCTGTCTCACCTGTTCTGGACACCAAATCCTTATAATACTTTATGAAATATATCTTAGAATAAGACAATCACCTGTCAGACCCTGTCAATTGTATTTTCAACTATAATCTGGACTTTTATCGTCTTCACGATTAGGAAAGTACCGACCCACTTGAAGTCCTCGACTTGGCTCTTAAACCCTTTTAGCTTGAACTTGACATGAATAGTGACTGTTTGTAGTAGAACTTTAAGTGGGTTTCAACTAAAAATAATACCCATTAGTACTTAAATAAGTGGAACTGTTTACAAAGAATATTTCAGACGGTTTTCTATAGAAACCCTATAATTTTTCAAAGAAACCCTAAACCTTTTAAACTGAAACTCTAAATCAATTTCAAAAACTTTGAAGGCTAAAACTGAATTTATTTCTTCGTCTGATTGATATTTCTTTAGATCTTAATTAAGATTTCATTATTCGAATTTTGTGTGTTTTGTAAATTAGTGAATTTTAAATTAAAATATTTGTGGTTCCCCAAAAATACAGAGATCAGCGATCATCGATCTCATTGGGATGATCTAGAATTCTAAAGTTCCATGATCATTTGTCTAGAAAAAAAAAAACACTAGCTATTGTTGTAGTTGTTGGTGTAGTTTCTATAGATGTTGTTGTAATTTTTATAGATGTTGTTTTAGTTGTTGGTGTATTTTGTTGGTGTTGCTTCGTTATCGCCTCGCGACTACGGCGTCAACATTTGCAAATGACGTCAAATGTTATAAAGAAATTTCAGTTTGTATATATATACACGATCGTTGTTAGGTATATAGTCTTATAGTATATACTATTACTGTTGTTGTTGTTGTTGGCTTTGTGCAGTGGCGTAACTGGATAGCCGGTCGGCACTGTCGCTGGCATTTCCATTATTATCATAATGTGCTTTTCGATTTGGGTTTCGGATTGGATTGGATTGCCTTGCCCGACTCTGGGCGGTTTTTGTTGACTTTGGTTTGGTTTGGTTGGTTGGGTTGGCTTGTGGTTGCTCCGACTTGCGCCGGATTGCCAGCCAGATACCATAGTTGTTGCCATTTGCTGTTTACTTGTTGGCTCGTTTTCTATTGCCACTTGCCACCACTTTGGATGCCGCAGATGGAGCTGCCAAGATGCCAACACGCTCCGACAATGCCTCCCTACTTAGTCCGTCCCCGTCCAGACTGACTCGATCTTTCTGCCTTTCTGGCTTTCTGGCTGTGTCTGTTACATGGCACATACATATGTATTAAATTTAATCAATTTTGATTGATGTGTGCGCATTACAGCAAACCAGACAAGAAGCAACAAAAATGAGCAAAATCGACAAACCCAAAAGATGCCAAAGGCCAACAACTAATTAGTAACGAATTTTAGATACCCTTAAGGGTAGTTATTAAAATTTTAATTACTTTGGTATTTAATACTGTTACTAAAAAGAATTTCAAGGTAGCCTCATTTTTTTATAATGGGCTTTAGATTTGCTTTAGAAATAAACTAGAGAATCATCTATTTTTCTTTAAAAATTCATTTATAATATTTTCTATTTTTAGTCAACTTTTCACAGTCTCTTGTTAAAACCAATATAGCCACTTGGCTTATAAAATTCTTAGCAAATAATAGTTTTTTTTTTAGTGAGCAGCTAACAAAAGCTTAACAGTAGTGTGTGAAAACCTTAGGACCATGGCTATTATTAAAGCCAATTATTTAATAGCCTAGAAACCAAGTTTGCAAATAGATGTTAGATGTTATTCAAAAAAAAAAAGCTACAAAAAAATCTTCATGAGGAAATATTTTAAAATTTTAAAAACTTTCCTTTTTTAATAGAAAGTGTTTTAAGGAAATTTGTAAGAATATATTTACTAAAGTTTTCCGTTAAAATAGTAGGACTTGTATGGTTGTATGGTTAATTGACCTGAGATTCATTGATAGATACTAGTCCTAGAATGACTTTAAATATTTATAAATTTATTTAAAAAGGTATTTGTTTTTTAGGTAATATTTTGATATAGAATAAAGTCTACTTATTAGGGTATTAGTATAGTTCTTAGAGACTGGTCCTCTTTATAGAACCATGTCCTGTAACTTACTCACCTTACTGAATTTGTTAAAGAAGTTGTATTCATTTTAGAGGATATTCTTTAGGCTAGACTCTAGAAAAAGCTAGACTTTAGACTAGAATCTACGTATGTATTTCCTTTGAATAGTAGGGTTATCGTATAGCTTATAGAGACTATAAATGAGCCTTTATTGAACCGATTCCTGAAACTTACTTACCTCACTGAATTTATTTTATAAAATCTGATTAGTTTCATACGAAATATAGTAGTCTGGGATTTTTTGTAAGATTCTCTTAAATAGTAGGGTATTAATATTGGTCATAGTGACTAGTAACCTTTATAGAATCAGGTCCTAAAATTTACTATTTAAAATTCAATAAAGTTATTTCCATATTGAAATAAATATTTGAGTCTAAAGTCTAGACCTTACTTAATTATTCCCTTTTAGATAGGGAAGGGAGGGACCCTTTTATTCTTATATAGGGTCTTTTATTCTAGATTAGAGTCCTGAAACTGCAAGAAGTCTTATTAGTTTTCAACAAAATATTAAAGACTTTACTTTACCAAAGTATTCCCTTGAAATAGAAGGGTATTGTTGTAGTTCATAGACCCTGGTCTACTCCTCAATCACCCGTTATGATCGACAGATCCGATAGCTGGATGAGGAGGAGGAGCAGACCTCGCGGGAAAGAAAGGCGTTTTTAGGCGCGAACGGGTTCGCAAATGCGAAGAAATCACAAATCGATCTCTCTCTCTCTCTCTTTCTCACACACTCTCTCTGTATATATATATATTGCCATCTCTTTCTTTGGTGGTATTCTCTATCTCTATCTGTATGATTCCCGGTTGCAGTTGCTGTTGAAGTCGCCTCAGTTCGATTCCAGTACTCCGATGCACTTAACCGAGTGCCGTGGGCCAGATTCCATGTAAGATGTCCGTGTGCGCCCTGAATCCCAATCCAACTCCGAATCCAAATCCAAACCAGAATCCCAGCCAGAAGCAACAGCAGAAGCCGTCGAGTCCCAAGCCCCGACCCGGGTCACTGATAACCGGAAACGGTAACGGGAATCTTCGTAGCGGCAAGGGTCTGATCACCCCGCCCACTCCGCCTCCGTCGCCCCAGGTCCGGATCTACGAGGACTTTGACAGGATGAGTGCCAAGGAGGTGTACTACAACGAGGCCGGCAAGAAGGTCACCGTGAAGTTGCTCCACTTTCCGGATGTGCCGCCGGAGGAGATCTCCAAACTGAAGTTCGAAGATGATGACGAGGACGAGGATGAGGACGATGAGGTGGTGGACCTGGAGGACGACCCGGACGAGAACGGGGAAGCAGCCGATGGCGAGGAGGCGGACGAGGACAGTGACTCCGGCGGAAAGCCCAAAACTCCAGAATCTAGCGAGGCGGAGAAACCCCCCTCGGAGGGTGGGGCCGGCAATCCCAAGAAGATCTTTCGACGCAAGCTGTCCGGAAACAATATGCAGACCAGGAAGTGTAGTCTGGCCTTCGCCCAGGCCCACGGCATCCGGCAGCGGGCCGAGAAGAAGCTATCGATGCCCACCATCAGCATAACGGCCAATTCCGGTGATCATGTGGCCGGCACCCATCTCCAGAACGGCGGTCTCCGGCTGAGTCTCGGCCGGAAGCTCTCCCACCAGTACTCCGTGCCACTTGGCTCACCGACCTCCCCGGTCTCGGGTCCCCGCCGGTCCCACTCGCCGCTGGGCCAGAGCCTCTGTCCCGGCTACATCCAGTACTCCAAGTCCCTGCTGGAGGTGCCCATGCCGCGGGACTACGGCTATGCCAGCAGCGACGATCTCAGCTCCGAGTGGGACTCGGATGTGTCCACCTCGGCGGCCGGCTCCGCTGCGGGCTCGGGCTCCTCGGGTTCTTCTTCCACCACAGCCGGCGGATCGGGTCATAAGAAGGTAGGATGAGGGGTTACAGTGATCCATTGAATTGGGTCTACAGGTGGATTATCCTAGTAACAGAATCTATATCATAGAATATTGTAGTTTCTTGTTTCTTAATAAATATTTATAGTATCTATGTATATATAGTTAGAGGTATTATTCTATGTAGGTATAATAAATATAGGTATATTTAGTTATAGGTAGTATTTTAAAAATACAAAAATAGAATTGCGCTAAAGACCTAAATAATTAAACAGTTTAAACCTAAAAAAAATATTCTAAATATAATACATATAAGTCTAGTATTTTTTGAATCTTTAAATTCTATTCCAACTCTAACTCGTATTCTCTTAATCCGTAATCCTCTTTAAAAAGTTTAGAAACCTTACATATTTTCTCTTATTTCTATTTATTTTATTACTCTAATATATTAATCTAATTAAGAAACTATTTTCCATAAATATGATAAGAGATAAAATATTCAAAGACCTCCTTAAAGAAAGTCGTTTGAAATGTAGGTATTTCTAGATTCTAGCTTTCTAGCTTCTTTAAACAATTAAATATCTTTTTTAAATTTAAATTATGAAATACAATAAACTAAAAATCATAATTACTATTATTTGTATTATTAATATTATATTATTTATTATATTATTATATTTTCAAAGATGAAACCTTCCAAGAGGTGGGCTTTGCTCAGAATTTGTCTATTCAAGGGAAGTCCCTCGTGGATAATCTTCCTTAAATAATCCCTTGGCTTAAAGCTGAAGGGTTCTTTCTCAACCGTCTTTATTATTTTATTTTTTTATTATGAAGCCTGATTTTTAACAGTATAAACTCTATAGCTAGGCCTATAAGTAATATAAAAACTATCTAAAATAAAAAGGATTAAAAACAATAACCTCAAAACAATACATTTTAAGATTAATATCAATGAAATGTAAAATATTACAAGCCGGTTTTTAAAAACATAATCCACTTTTATTTACGCGATTTATCAGTTGGATAACAAAAACGTGTTCCGATTTCTCAATAAGCCAAGAAATCGGGGTAAAAATAATGAGACTACCACCTGTAATCACAACAGAATTTTATTTTATTTTTTCTTACAATTTTTTGTTTATTATTCGGTCAGTAAATAAAAGAAACTTTTCCATTGGCTTATTTTTAGCACCTGGTTTTAGTTTCCAACGAATTGTAGATTCTTAAATTAAAGAGGAAATTCGGAGAGAAATTATAAACAATTTAGCGGAAACCTGCTTAAATATTGTTTACACAAAGTCACAAATAAACGAAACACAGGCAAACAAATTGTGATATTTACGCAAATCGTATGAAGATAATTGAATAATCGTATATTTTCAATTAATATTTGTGGGTTCTTCTCTTCAAAGAATTATAGTAAATCTTCAGATTATAAACCTCTACTAATCTCTTTATTAACCTTGATCCTTTTAGAGCTCCGGCTGGCGCAAGATCCGGAATATTGTACAGTGGACACCCTTCTTCCAGACGTACAAGAAGCAACGGTATCCATGGGTCCAGCTGGCAGGACATCAGGGGAACTTCAAGGCGGGCCCCGAGCCGGGCACCGTTCTCAAGAAGCTCTGCCCCAAGGAGGAGGAGTGCTTTCAGATCCTCATGCAAGACCTCCTGCGACCCTATGTCCCTGTCTACAAGGGTCAGGTGACCAGCGAGGATGGTGAATGTAAGTGGAAGACAGTCTCTCTTAGTAGCCCTCTTCTAATAGTTTCCTTCAACATTTCTTAGTGTATCTCCAACTACAGGATCTGTTGAGCGACTATGTCCAGCCCTGTGTGATGGACTGCAAAGTGGGTGTGCGCACCTACCTGGAGGAGGAGCTGTCCAAGGCCAAGGAGAAGCCCAAGCTGCGCAAGGACATGTACGACAAGATGATCCAGATCGATGCCAATGCCCCCACCGCCGAGGAGCATGCCGCCAAGGCGGTCACCAAGCCACGATACATGGTCTGGCGGGAGACCATCTCCAGCACAGCCACCTTGGGTTTTCGCATTGAGGTGGGTGTTCTTATTAAAAGGGGTTACTATGCTCGGTGCTATTGGTTATCCTTTGATTTAAGTATAATATTAAATTGTAAGTGGCTGCATTTTTGGTTCATGGAAGTCAACAGCTACATAGGTCCTATGGATTGTCCTTTAATTTTTTCCCTAGGGTGTCTTCTAATTTTTTCTCCAGTTATTTCTTTAGTTATCCTTTTCCTAGGATGTCCTTTATATTCTCCTCGATATTGTCCGCTATTGTGTCCACTAGAATGTAGGTTAGTTTGTCCTCTAACTTCTCCTCTAGATTTTCTTCTAGTTTTTCCTCCAGTTCGTCCTCTATTTTGTCCGCTAGTCTACCTATTCATTCCTCTATAATGTCCATACCGAGCTTATCCCCTAGTTTATCCATTAAAAGTTCTATTATTGCCTTAAAAATAACTTTTCTGAGAAGAAACCAAATCAATCTACATATATGTTAAGCCACAAAGACCTCAATGAAAGGCAACTTTCTTCTCGAAATTCTTCATTAAACAAATCTCCATTGAATTCTCCAAATTCTCCATATAGTCTTCCACATTCTACATTAATTTAAATCAATTAATTGACTAATTTATATTAATCTAACCTGACAGGGCATCAAGAAGAGCGACGGCACTAGTTCCAAAGATTTCAAAACGACCAAGTCACGCGAACAAATCAAGCTGGCCTTCGTCGAGTTCCTCAGCGGTCATCCCCATATTCTGGTAAAAATAAACTGAAATTAGTTATATCCGGAATGGAATAATAAACCTCCCAATCTGATTCCAGCCCCGGTACATCCAGCGTTTGAGGGCCATCCGGGCCACCCTGGCCGTGTCGGAGTTCTTCCAGACGCACGAGGTGATCGGGAGCTCCCTGCTCTTCGTCCACGACCAGACCCATGCCAGCATCTGGCTGATCGACTTCGCCAAGACGGTGGAGCTGCCGCCCCAGCTACGGATCGATCACTACTCGGCCTGGAAGGTGGGCAACCATGAGGATGGCTATCTCATCGGGATCAACAATCTAATCGACATTTTCGTCGAACTCCAGGCGACGATGGAGTCGGTTCCGGACTCTGGACCCACCCCAGACCCCCAGGATCATGGAGACGAGGCGAAACGGGATAACGATATAGACGACGACGACGATAAACCCTAAATGGGTTTTCTGGGGCTGGGCCCCGTCCAAAAAAAAAAAAGACACTTCCATAACCCGAATCGATTAACCCCCAATTCTAGACTAAGTTAGCTGATAGTTTTCCACTTTTTTTTTAAACTTTTTTTTTTTCATTCTTAACCCCCTAAATTCGCCTTGAACTCTACTGCGTCTGCGTACACACTTTTAACCCATTAAGTTTAAAATCAAAGACTGAAACCCACACTATACATACATACATATATGTCTTAGAGAGTATGTACATTGTGCTGAAGCTGATGCTGATATACTGCTACCGCTGCTGTTGTTCTGAAGTGTAATTTATTTATCCAAAAACAAAAAAAAAAAAACAAATACTTGACCACCTCTATCGAGTAGCACCCGCGAGCAGACACCCGACTATCCTAATTATCCCTCGAAGTGTAACTAAGGAAGCCCATCAATACACAACAATAGCCTAGGCTAAGCCATTAATATTATGTTTATGCTACTACCTACTAAATACTACTAATTGTGCACTATTAAATTCATTTAAACCAGAATTGATGGATGTTTTTAATTTTAAATATTATTTGGAAAACAAAACTAGAATTAATAGAAACAAGAATTAAAAGCTAACATCGGATATAGTTAGAAACAGGCAGATGGACCCATTGACATTTTTATATCAACTCAGGAGGTGATCCTGATCAAGAATATATATACTTTATAGTGTCGGAGATGTCTCCTTTACTGGGTCGCACCGTTTTGATAAAAATTATAATATTTTGGAATATAGCCTAGTTATAGTTAGGGATTTGGAAATTTTTTTGCCAAAATGTTAGCTTTTCCCTCACTTTTCGCCTTTCAGCCATTTCTAAAAGAATTTAAAAACAGAGCACCAGCAGATAAAAACAAAAAATATTGAATTTTAAGAAATTAAAACATCACTCTTTTATCGGTCATATTGGAACCATTTCTCTATCTATTCTAAAACACAATTCCTAAATTAGGACTTCAATCCCCCTATATTTCTGCCAAAAACTTCTTAATGGTTTTTATAGTTTTTTGGCCCAATTTGTGATGTGAAATGGTCATAGTCATTAACATCCAACTATCAATATACTATCAGTAGACCTTGTCCTTAAATTGGATATTAAGGCAACTGGATATTCATACTTATAATTTTTAAAGTTGAAGATGCTCCATTTTCTCATAGACCCTTAAAAAGTTTGAAGCAGTCCCATATGTTATCGTTGAGAATCTGAATTTCTTAATTGAGAAACTTAACTAATTTCAAGCTAAAACATTGAAGAAAAATCTACCCTCTTTGGAAAATCGAATATTTTAAATTTAAAAAGCCATAGACAATATTAAAGTTTAAACAAATATATTTTTATTGAAACATAAAAGGCTCAAAATGTAATATAAAGCGGTAAAAAAAAAATAAAATAAAATCAGTAAATCAGAACACATGAGTGCATACAATAAAAGTAAATAAATCAGATGGTTTCCTGGCACGATCTTAGAGATCCTCCTTGGATAAGAATTCGATGGAATTAAAGACATCACAGCACCTGAGAAAATAAAGGCTTAGTCAGTTATAAGTATTATTATTTTTCCTCCAAGGGGTTTTTACTTACCAAACTATGACCTCTTCAAGACCCACATCACCGATTATAGTCCATTGAAGAAATTGATTGAATTGAAGAATAATAAAAATAAAAAAATCCTGGTAATAAAAAGAAGTGATCCATCTTGAATAAAAATTCGACGGATTTATTGGCACCAATTATAGGCCACCGCAAGCCCTGAGAAAATAAAAGCTTAGTCAGTTATATTATTTTTCCTTTAAGGGGTTTCTACTTACAAGATGATGACCCTTGTCGGAGGAACTACTGCAAACGTAGTAGCAAAAAATTTAAGGTAATGAAAATTATAAAGAAGGAAAGAAGAAAACACAGCCTCTATAAGGACCAGCGTATGCCCCATCGGACATAAGGAAATTAGAGATTCTTCTTGGCAAATCCATCCTTGGGACCCGTAAGTACCTGAGTAGAAAAAATATATCAGTTATGAATATTATTTTTCCCTTAAGGTGTTTTTACTTACCACATGGCCCTGTCCACGAAGGTCCAAACTTTTATGGTAATAAAAATTAAAAAAAAAAAATTAAAAAAAAAAAATTAAAAAAAAAAAATAACAAAAAAATAAGATCCATATTAGAAAAAAAAAGTTTGATGGCGTTATGGCATCCATGGAAATTCAAGGAACAAAATTGGGAGAACAAAGGCCATGTCAGTTATGAATATTATTTATGAATATTATTATTTATACTTCAAGGGAAATCCAATTTTTATAAAAAAAAAATAAAATTAAAAAAAATAAAAATTTTTACTTGCGAAACAATAACTGCTCCAAGGGCCCCTTCATCTATTATAGTCCAATGTCCAAAAATTTATAATAACAAAAATACAAACAAAAAAAAAAAATCCATATTAGAAAAAAAAAGTTTGATGGCGTTATAGGCATCAATGGCAATTCAAGGTACAAAATTGGGAGAACAAAAGCCATGTCAGTTATTAGAATGTAAGAATATTATTTATCCTTCAAGGGGTTTCTTCTAACCAGACGATGACCCCGGCGGAAGGAGCTTCTCCAAACGATTGTCAAAGTCCATGGGAATCATAATAATAATAAAAATTTTAAATAAACAGATTTTTTGCAAAATTCTCTCTTTGGAGGAGCATGATTGAAAAATAAAGTATAAAAAAATAAAATAAAAAAAACAAAAATAAAATAAAAATTCTCGCTTTGGAGGAGCATGATTGAAAAATATGGAATAAAATAAAATAAAAAAAAACAAACAAAAATAAAATAAAAATTCTCTCTTTGGAGGAGCATGATTGAAAAATAAGGAATAAAATAAAATAAAAAAAAAAAACAAAAATAAAATAAAATAAGACGTTTAAAATAGATCCCCTCAGCTTCAAGTCAAGGGACTAACTGAATTTTCTGCCGAGTGGCCGGTCCTTTTATACCAAATTTGTGAGCAAAGCCTACCATGTTTTTTTTTTTGGATTTTAACCCTCTTCGATATATGGTAGTATGTATAATCGATAAAATAAAAAGAGTTTGTAAAAAGGTGAGATTTTGACCAAATATTCAGTACATTTTAACAAAGTTAGTTGGTCAAGGAACTAAGGTACAAAAACACTCACAAAATGGATTAAAAAAAACATTTAAGAATATAAATGGTACCTAGATGCAAACACTTTTTTTTTTTGGGCAAATATGGCTTGTAATTATACAAACTGATTTTTAACTGTACCCTTCCTAATTCAGCTTCATAAGTACCTTATTTCCCAATCAAAAATCAACAATTTTAAAAATCCCGCTTAAGTAACAAACAACCAGGGCTACATGTCAATAGCGAAATAAAGCTTCAAGCTTTCGTTGGTGTGCGGTCACTCTGTGGCATTATTCACGTGCGCGGGCAAAAGCTCACGGTATCCAGGCTGGTAACACTGCGGCGATTCAATTCGCATTTCCAGACCAAAGCACCTATTATTCGTAGTATTTCGTTTTTGATACGCGTGCCGAAAGGTTGTGCTTAAATCAGCTAATCACAGCGACTAACGAGCGACCCACGCCGATACCGGAAATCAATTACTTCAACTACAAAATACAGGCAACAACTAAAGTGAGTGCCCGGCGATGAAAATTTCGCAAATTCTGGGAAGAGTAAGGGAGATATTAAAAGAGAGCGTAGGCCATAAAGTTGGTCCTATTTTTTTTTGTTGCAATTTTGATGTAGTTGTGTCGTCCGGGATTATAATGATAATGATGTTGGGTCGTTTGGGAGAACACAGATTATTTCACAAGTTCTGTTGAGCACCGAGCATAGTTTCCCATTTTTTTTTCTAATTTTTTTTTTTTTGCTTTATTGGCACGTCCGTCGCACAGACACACACATACCCATATGTACTAATACATTCTCACACAGAATCTCATACGATGGCGAAAATTCTAGCCGGCAACAAAAAAAAAAAAGAAAGAATGACAAAAAAAAAGAGGGAAGAAATCTAATCGAGAGGAAAATATTTGCAAAAATCAAAAATATTTCTAATTTTCTTGATTTCTGTAATTAAATCGTTGAAATCCAAAATGGAATGGGCACAACGACGTGCCAAAAGTTCAATTCCCGAAAAAGAAACTGAATTCAAGAAATTTCGGTTAATTGATTATTCTGGGGTTTCTTCTTACATTACATGCCTCTTCTGCCGCGTCAGCCATTTTGTTAGGAACTCTGTTTCTGTTTCCAAGTTCTTGTGAAATGGCTCTCTGTTACGATCGATCGCCAAGGTTACTTTGGAAATATCTGGAAATCGGTACGGGATTTGCAATTAGATCTGCCACATCAGAAGCAGTTTTGCTTAAGCTTTAGAGATTATAGGCTAGTCTAGAGACTAGTTTTAGACTTTGTTTTAAGGTTTTTATTTAAATATTTAGATATATGTATTTTGGAAATTCAAAGACAGGGCTTTATAGGCATGGGCTTCATAAACTCTCCTAGCATAATTTTGGAAATTTTCCAAAAGGTTATCTTGAATATTTTTATTTTATTTGAATATATTACTACAAAACTGGTACATTTTTTTATTAAATTCTTGGTTAGAATTTTAAATATTTAATTCTTTTTAAATTTATATCAACTTCAACTTCTAAAAATCACAATTTTCTATAATTCCTCTATAAAGTTCTTAAAATTAATAAAAATATTGAATATACCCCCTCTTCTTAAAGATGCCCCAGCTACAGAAGCCCGCTCCCGAATTCTCCGGCACCGCCGTCGTCAATGGCGTCTTCAAGGACATCAAGCTCAGCGACTACAAGGGCAAGTACCTGGTCCTGTTCTTCTATCCCCTGGACTTCACCTTTGTGTGCCCCACGGAGATCATTGCCTTCTCGGAGGCTGCCGCCGAGTTCCGCAAGATTAACTGCGAGGTGATCGGCTGCTCCACCGACAGCCAGTTCACCCATCTGGCCTGGATCAACACGCCCCGCAAGCAGGGCGGTCTGGGCAGCATGGACATCCCCCTGCTGGCCGACAAGTCGATGAAGGTGGCCCGCGACTACGGTGTCCTCGACGAGGAGACCGGCATCCCATTCCGCGGCCTGTTCATCATCGATGACAAGCAGAACCTGCGCCAGATCACCGTCAATGATCTGCCCGTGGGACGCAGCGTCGAGGAGACCATCCGCCTGGTGCAGGCCTTCCAGTACACCGACAAGTACGGTGAGGTGTGCCCCGCCAACTGGAAGCCCGGCCAGAAGACCATGGTGGCCGATCCCACCAAGTCCAAGGAATACTTTGCCACCACCGCCTAAGGCGGAACCAGCCGAAGGTAGATGGTGGGAGGAGGGACTGCTCCTGGCGAGCAGGAGCGGATTCGAATCGCATCGCATAATTCTATACTATATATCGTATACCCTTACACATTAACCCTAGGAAGTAGATGAGAGCAACTGTGAAAACACATCCATGTAATCAGCAGCTAAGCAGAAAGTGATTTATTTTTTTTTTGTGCTTTTTGTAGTTCACCCAAAAGTAAAAAAAAAAAATAAAAAATAAAATATAAAAGATTAAACGGAAGAGTAGACGACGGACTTGCAACACGTGGGCCGTTATCAGGGGGTGACGGGCGGACTTTCGCCTCCAAAACTTACTTCTTCGGGGGCTTATCTCCCCGGGGAACAACACCACGGCACCAAGGTGGAAAATAAAATAAAAAACTTATCACTGCCTGGGGCCCGGCGATGGCGAAATGATATATGTACGTAAGTATATAGCTTCAGACTCTGATTCTGAATTAGAATGCGGAGAATTCCCTGCTGCGTCGACTACGTCATCGCAGTGATGGAGTGACACAGTAACCGAGTGCATGGTGGTTCCCGTTTTCCGCATCCAGTCCCGCATTTTAATGTCAAGTGCAAGCGAGAGTTGTCTTACACTGAAAGAAATTGGCTGCACTTTTGGAGCTTATGTTTCAGAGTATTTTGATGAGGAGTATCCTCGTGAAAAACTACTCTTTTAATAAAATAAAATAATACATGTTAGTATTAAATTTATTTCAAAATTAAATATTAATATTTTTCATAAAAAGTTAAATCAAAACAACACAATTTTAATCTAAAAACTTATATATTTACAGTTTTTGAAAATCAAAGAGACAGGTTTTCAGAAAATATACTTTCGAAAATATAGCGCTTATAGTAGTCTCATAGGTTTTGAAATATATAGCTTAAAATATTTGAAATATATATAACTTCTTTCAAAGTTATATATATATTTTCTTAAAGACTTCAATTCTGTAAATTTTCTTCAATTTTCTGTAAAGTTTTTGAATATTTGTTATAATTCTAAACTTTTTTCAAAGAAACCCTTCTTATTTATTTTTCATAAATCCTTATTGTTTAGAGTATTTTTGTGAAAAAGAAAACTAAAAGAAAAAGCTGTAAATTAATAGTTTTATGATAATTAAGATTCAAGATCACAAGGTGATGGAAGATACTGGACACAAGATATTGGAAAAGTATTAGAAAGTTTTATACCTTGTAGGAAAGTTAGTATAAGTAGAGGTGATTTCTTATTATATTATATATTATTTATATTATTCTAAATTATTTTAAAAATATCTGGAGGAATATTACTAATTTTATGATAATTAATATTTAAGATATTCAAGGTATATGGATTCAAGATATATTTAAGATATTCTTGAATATGGAAAAGGTAGTATAGATAGGTGATATATAGATGATATCTAGAAAGACGCCAAGGTATATTGTAGAAAGGTATAGGTCTTAAAATATTTTATATTATTATTAATTATTTATAAAATATATGTAAGATAGAAAATCTTTTAATAGAAAACTAAAGATATAAAATATATCCAAAACTAGGTTTATTAGGTTCCAACCTTATAAGGAACTTTACTTAAATAATATAACATTTTTAATATTCATTTTCTAGATCCCTACAAAAAGAAATAACTTGTTTTTCGGTGTACGGTCGACGTGGATGTCTTGCATGTTAAAATCAGGTTATGGATATATATATATGTATCTATGTTATGACTATGATTGTGTTTGTGAGTCAGCCGAGATCCTCACCCAAGAGTTCAACTATTACGTGTAACTTTTGCGAGGCGCATCACACGACTCGTGTGTGTCTTCAGCAGCACCCCCCGATCTTGGCCAGAAAACAAGTTTTTTTTTCGCCAACTCACAGCCGGCACAGTCGGCACTTTCACATACCCCCATGCCCCTACATGTCTACAGATATACCAGACTATATATGTATATATATATATATATGTATTTAAGAGCAGCTGCGAGCCATTTGGAACCTACGAGAACTGGTAACCAGAACCCTTTCTAGTCGGTATTGCGATACGATTCCGAGACCGATTCCGAGACCGATTTCTGCGCACGTTACGACGCTTCATAGAGGTAACTTTTTTTGGGGCATAACCGACTTATCAGTGGCGGGTAATTGCAATTGTCCGACACATGTATGTACATAATATACTGTACTGTACTGTATATGCGGAAATAGTAAAGTTCTCACACAGCTGCGGTCAAGATAATAGGCCTCTTAATGGCAAGCTTCTATTATCAGTTGTGTTTCTCTCCTCACGATACTACGCTTTTGAGTTATTATCTGTAATTTATGGTTATTTAAGTGGTAATTTTTTTTAGAAACTTACAGTTTACGATTTTTTTTATTCGTTTTGGAAGGTATTTATTGATTAGTTTGGCTTATTATTACTATTACTAAATGCCAAAAGGTAAACACTATCAAGGTAGATCATAAAAATTATAAGAATATATGATATTTTGAAGAATATTATGATTTTTATGATTATGATTCTTTTTTTTTGTAAATCCCCCTTTAAAAAAAAGAGCATTTAAGATTCTTTTTGTTGAAAAATGACACTTTTCAATCGGTTTTTACCTGAGCTTGTTTGCCAACCTGAACAAAAACGCTCTATTCATATTCATCAGCCTCTCGACAGCTGCAAAAAAATAAAAAAAAAGTTAGAAAAAATAATAAGAGATTGCTGTTACTACCTTTTGCTGAATCATTGCACCGAAAGGTAAATGAAACGTTTTTCCAAGTGACCCACAAAATGGAAACAGAAAGCAAATTTTACAAAAAATTCAACAATAATCCCAGTCTGAGCCCCGATTTCTATGGGCCTTTTAGCCAAATTGAGGGCGTGGCAAATGTCATTGTGGAGTGACTTCCAAAGATTGCTATTCCAAGAGTTAAAAAAAAACCTATTACTCTAATTAAATCCTATAAAAAGATTTAAAGGAAAGGAAGTTTCCTGATGGTAAAGATTTAAGTTCCAGAAAGGTTTCGAAAATAATTTCTATAATATGGAAATGTTTGAAACTCTTCTTAACTATATTTCTTAATTCAAAACTTATAAATTTTCTCTTTCAAATATATATTTAAAAGTTTCCTCTTCTAAAAGTTTATTAAACTTTATGAATACAACCACAAAAGTAAAATATTTACTTAAAATACATACTATAGAAAAATATAAAAAATTTTGTAGTGCTGTCAGTCGCGTAATTTGATTATTTTATAGACTGATAGCCTGGTAATCGTAGCGCTCCATTGGTATTAGTGATATCAGTTGCCATTTGGGTCGTGCGGAATGACATTCCCGGAATGGCAAACCTTTTATATTTTTTTTCCGCGCTCTCCACCATTTTGGGGCTAGAACGACCTTTCAATTACAGTTCGATAAGGGGCTTTGTTTTTTTTTGGGGGTGTGGGCTGGAGGTGTCTTTAAGCTATTGGGTAGTTGTTCTACTAACAATAAAACCATTCCTCGTATAGATAAGTCCATCTCATCAATTATCTTTTTTTTGTGGCGAACACGCAAGTCCAATCGATACTTGTCAATATTAACATTAATTGCAGTTTATTGCCCGAGACAAGAATCTATTTTGGTCTGATGGCTGATAGCCCCTGGATAATTGAATTTTCTATCATAGTTACAGTTGCAATAATTCAAATAAAACATGGGATATATTAGCCGCCGAAAAGCTTGCATTAAATTATGGCCCTAACGAATAACAGTGTTGGTAATCTTCAGTGGATGTGTGTTGAAAAAGTTCATGTTTAGTGTTGTGGGTAAAGCTTTGTATGTGTCATTTTGTAGCACTGAAGTTGTTGCGGGTAAGAGACCGCCAATATTTGAATTTTGATAAGAAATTTGAATCAACAAGTTTGTGGTTTTTGTATTTCTTTCTGTTTTTTTTCAGATTAGTTTTAACCTGAGTTTTAAATTTATTAAATTATATTTTTATAATACCCCTATTGTTAAGTTTTTATTAAAAACTTATTAACTTTTTAAGCTTAGTACATGTTCCAAACGCAAATATTCAAAACTTTTAGCTATATAGATCCAAAAGACTCTATATAACCAACAAATGGAAACCTGCTAAGAGTTCTTGCTCTTGAAAATTAAAGTTAAGAACCTTTTTTTTATGTTCATGTTATAGAAATTATTATTAATTATTCTATCCACCAAACTATGTCCTATATCTGATCCTGAAGGTATTTCTTGCTAGAAACATTAAATGGTCCTTATTAAATGGTTTCCAAAATTATAAGTTTAAAATAAAGTTAACTTATGTAGTTTAAAAAAAAACAAAAACTACAAGTTGACAGACTTTCACGTGTTCTCTCCAATATAAGAAATATTTGGAAAACATCACAGCTTAACTTTTGAAAATTAAAGTACCCTTTAGGTATTTGAAGGATTCCTATATGTAGGATTGAGAATAGCTTCAATAAACTTGACATGATGTTCTTAATAGAATAATGAAACCCCTATAATTCTGGAAAGTTGAAGATGAAATCTTTAAGCTTGTTTTAGCATTAAGGCCTAAGCTCAGTTCAAGGTATATACTCTTCCTAAATGCACATTTTTTGGTATTCGAGCCCTATTTTCTTCAAAAATTGTTATAAAACATATTTGTGTTTAAATATTACTTCTTTTAAAGAACTGAGACTGTTTTAAGGGGTTCTACGCAGTTTTGCAACCCAAAAAAGGAGAATTTTTTAAATATTCTTATAAAGAGAACTTCGAAGAGAAATGTTACAAGACAAATATTAAATACTTAAGTGGAAGCTACTTTTAAGCTTCTAATTCTAATTCTAATAATTCTTCTTCACTTCTGATAAATTATTACTGATAATAATATCTAATTCTACTTCTGTAGACGTTGCAAGAAACGTTTTCGAAAAATGGAGTTTTGTGGTGATGGGGAACCGACGAGGGTTTAGATTCTAAACTTTAGAATATCCAAATGGAAAAATCTAAGAAAAAAACGAAATTCTTTGTTCAAAGTAAAGCCATTTTTGAAAATTCTTCCTTCATTACCTGCCTTTAATGAAGGAAGAATTTTCAAAAATGGCTTTACTTTGAACAAAGAATTTCGTTTTTTTCTTAGATTTTTCCATGAAATTGCCGATAATAAATATAAATAATTTTTGAAAAATAAATTCCTTCGCTCATAACCTGCGGAATACATCCAAGAAGATTGTTTACAAATTCTATACCGAACGGCTTATCCATTTTCAAGAAATCGAGATCACCGACTTTAGAAACAATGATTTCCTGCCATAACCTTTCATGCTCCATACTCCACAAGCCATTCTTGTACATTATTTCTAGGTTACTTGACTCATTCGCGTCTTGAACCACATTGCCAGCGGAAACCTAACCACATGGCGTAGCATTCTCTTGAAGAAAAGCCTAAACTATCCTCTATATCCATGAATCAAACTGCATCCAAAACTAGTCAATTCACATACACAGGAATATTTTATGATAACAGAATGATTTACTGTTCGATTTCGATCACTATACGGCTTACATTTTACGTATTTTATATAAAAAAAAAATCGTATTTAAAATTAGTATGTATCAATCATTTTATTTCGCGTTTTTATTGTGAACATTCATTGATGTCAATATGAATGGAGGCATCCGTTCATACTCTCTCCACGCCCCGATCCACGAATATATCACGAATGGGTGGTGGCGATCTTGGGGGGGGGGGTGTCGTCGTGAAAATAAAATAATTTGCTACATAGCAACTCCCACACACACTCGCCGCAGCTCCTCGTTGTTGTTTCCTCATTTTGCTTGCATTTTTTAGAAGAAGAAACCAAGGATCTTGCCTCCCAAATGTTTTCTCCTGGCCTCCTCGTGGTCCATAATACCGCCCGAGGTGGTGAGGACAACGTAACCGAACTGACGGGACGGCAGCAGATTGTTGGTCCACTTTTCGATATCGTTAATGGGGACATCGAAACGGGGCGAGATGACGCCGCACTTGTTCAGGCGACCGGTGAGGTTCACAACGATCTTGCCGGAACGATGGTCATCGACAATTTCGAATTCGCCGATGTAGCCGTGCTTCATCATGACGGTCAGGAACTTGATGATGACCTTCGAGCAGGGACGCAGGAGCACCTGGCGCTTGCCGCGCTTCTCTGCGTTGTTGATGCACTTAAGGGCATCGGCCAATACGTTCATACGCACCATGGCTGCAATAGAATAGAGAACAACGATTAGTTTTTCTTACTTAGATATGGTAGATGGATGGTTTCTTCGAAAACCTGGACAACATGGCTCATTGGTGTTTGCATATTCTCAGAGGATTAGGATTTTCATTTAAGATGGCTTGAGGAAGCACCAGCCTAGGAAGTCTCATGAATCATGCCTTCTTTTGACATAACCCTCTACCTTGAAGACTAGATAAAGGTATTATTAATGGTTTTTAACCAATTCTGGTGGATTCTCTAGACAGAATCCTCTACAAACTCAGTTCCAAGCAGTAGTTTCCTCCAATAGAATGATAGAACACTCCCTCTCCATGATTCTGACATTATTTTGGAGATATATCCATGATCATTACCAATATCGGAACAATAAAAAAAAATAAAGCAAAGCACGTGCAAAAAAAAAACAGCTTCCCTGTGTATGTTGGCGCGTTCGTGTCTATGCGCTTGTGTGTGTGTGTGTGTCTGTGTGAGCGTAGTGGTGTACCAAGTAACCAAGGTGTAAACAACAACAATTTTTGGACTTTTTTCTATGATAATGCAAGATTATCTCGCCGGTTTTGGTTTTTTTAGTTTAAAAACAATATTTACTAGCAATTTCCCTCACACTGATACACACACACACCCATACACTTCCAGGTTCGATAACAACAACAACACTCGGCATTTATGCATAGTTTTTTTTGCATATCGGATAAGCCGCCACATAAAAAAAAAATATATATATTCAGTTAACCAGATTTGTATAATCTTTCGTTTGAATGCACTGCAATCAAAGTATTGTTTACATATCAGCAGATACTTTTTTAACTTGGAAGCACAGAAAAAAAAATTGTTGGACCAAAAAGAATAACATTTTGCACATATTTTCCACCGCGCTCGTAAAAATCTCGGTTTTGACGTCCTCTGGCAATATTTGGCCAAACGTTGGCAAGTATATTTCGAAGAAATCAGTTAATTTAGGCGGCGATTACCTAGGATTGGTTTGCAAACACAATTTTAAGTTGCACAAATTAAGAAGGGCCACGTGGAGCGTGCGTACCTTGCCGAAACAGAGGTTGAAAAGAAAGAGAAAAGTGTGGCCACACTGGAAAGTACAAAAAAGTGTGCCTGCTGACATCGTTCGATAAATGACTAAAAAATACTAAAACAGTGTGGCTACCCTGGAAAGATCCTGCACTGTTAAGCGCAACATGTACTGTAAGACGCCTCATTTGGTGCTGTTAAGGGTTAACAGTGCTGTTAAATGACAGTTGACAGCTATCAGAGATGTTTTCGACAAGCAGGGTTGCTATTAGCCGGTTTTGGGTGAAAACGGTTACTTCAATCATATGTAAATTGTAAACAAACCAAAATGTCAAAACAGTGAGTTTTTATTGGATTATTTTATGCAATTTCACCTTGATTTAATGCATTATTTTCCGTCTAGATATGGTCTTATATTGCCGGGGCAGAAGAAGGCGCCCGTCAAACCGCCACAGCCTACGAAGCCGGCCATTTTTGACGAGAGCAGTGGATCCGAAAGTGAGGGCGACAAGAACGCACCACAGATGCGCTCCAAGGGTACTGCCGGGGTCTCCAGCGGCCCGAGTCTGATGGAGCGACGAGTGGCCCGCAAGCTGCACGAAAAGGCACTGGAGGAGGATCCCACCATCTTCCAGTACGACGAGCTGTACGACGAAATGGACAAAGGGCGCGAGGAGGAGAAGCAGACCAAAAGCAAGGAGCCCCGCAAGCCAAAGTACATCAACAAGCTGATGGAGCACGCCGAGCGGCGGAAGCTGGAGAAGGAGCTGCGCATCGAGCGGCAAGTCCAAAAAGACCGCGATGCCGAGGGCGAGAAGTTCAAGGATAAGGACACCTACGTAACGGCTGCCTACCGCAAGAAGCTCGAGTCCATTCGTCTGCTACAGGAGCAGGAGCAGCGTGACGATTACCTCGAGGCTATTGGCGACGTCACCAAGCAGAAGGACCTGGACGGCTTCTACAGGCATCTCTACGAGCAGAAGCTAGGCACAGCCGCGGAAGTGGTCAAGCCCAAGACCGCTCCCTCCACGGAGGAGGTTTCCTACAAGCCCATTAAGCCTGATGCACCCAAGCATAGAAGCTACCGGCAGCGCCGCTCCTCCGAGGGCGAGGAACCCGAGCCTCCAGCGAAGTCGGACTCCACGGCCACTGCTTCCAATGAAAAAACAAAGCCTGTCCAAGCTCACCTGACCAACAACATAGACGCCGACTCCGATTTCAGCATAGACGAGTCTAGTGATGAAGAAGAGGAGAAGGAGCAGAAGGAAGAGAAAAAGGAGCCGGAGCAGGCCAAGAAATCAAAGGAAAAGGAAAAGAAGAAGAAGGATCCTAGCAAGAAGTCTGAGAAGAAGCGTCAGCCGGAAAAGGAAGCCAGTCCAGATAAAGAGAGCCTGGAACCCAAAAAAGAATCCGATTCAGAAAACGAAGAGGAGGCTGCCAAGGATCTGCCCGTTCCCATTGTGACCAAGCCACCGGTGGACCGGACACTTATCTGGCGCAAAAGGACCGTGGGCGAGGTGTTCGAGGCGGCCGTGGCCCGCTACCAGGAACGGAAACGCGCCCGTCAGGGCTAAATGAAAACTTTAAGTGGGCAGTACGGGAGGGGGCGGGGCAAAAAAAAACAAACATTTGATTCTGTATTGTGGGCTTATTATGCTAATTTCAATTTGTCACCGCCTCATAAATAATGTATGTGTATGCCGGCGCACGGGCAACCCTTTCTGGTGCAAATATTTTGCATAAGCTGCAGCTGCAACTTCCCGGCCATCCCTCCCAACTGCCAACTCCCAACCGGGGCATCACCTAGGAAAAAAAAGGACACAGTGCCACGAGCCATGACGGATGGAACCGCAACATTTAAAAGTGGCAAAGCGAGAGACTGGAGAGCCATGGAGGGATGAGCAAGTGCCAAGAGAAGAAAGTACGCGAAAATATTCCATTTATTTTGTATGACGGCGACACGACGACGACAACTAAAAGAGCCAAAAAAAGAAAAGAAAAACTAATAAAAAATAAAAAAAAAAGGGTAGAATAAAATACGGACTTGGCTTAGACAAACGAAGCGAAGCAGATACCCTGGCTGGCAGATAGTCGAATGTAGTTACATCCTAAAGTCATTGAACTCACTGATTTATAATTGAAAAGGATATCAGTTGGAATTTAAAATGTAAAATGACTAAATACACTGAAAAGTAATACCAAGTCTTAGGAAATACAAATCTGAAAGCTTAAAAAATAAGAAAACTATCATTTAGTTTAAATAAATTGATTTAAATAATATATTTTACCTTATTTTTACCTGTAACGAAAGTTCTGAATCTTTATTTCAAGTGTAAACAAAAGACATTGGACAGAGATTCGGTTGTGGAACAAATCCGCGTTGAGGCGGACGACGGCTTACGGCGAAATTACTTTTTAGGTCCCATGGAATATCCCCTTCAGTGCGCCGGAAACTCCTAAGCCGAGTTCTAATACCCTCCGATGCTGCAACATAAAAATACAAAAAAATACGTAAAAGCAACCAAGAAACTTGCCAAAACGCCCAAATAACAAAGAACCAACTTGGCGTCAGTTTATTTTTATTTTGCGTTTTTTTTTGTACGCCATTTTGCCTGCCATTCCGCCATACCGCCATTCTGGCATCCGCCATTTTCTATTCGTCGTTCACCGTTCACTTTTCGCCATTCGTTTTTGTTTTTGCAACTTTGTTGTTGCTTCATTTTGTCAAAAATGCTGGGAAATCCTTTTGGAAAATAGAAAATAGGTGTGCCGGGGCCGTACTAAAAACTGTGAAGAACTTAAAAGAGAGAGAGGGCTGCACGGATGTCGACATGTTAGGACGGGCACGGGTCCGAATCCGGCGCATTGCAGTCAAGCTATACCGCAAATCTAACGGGTCTGCGGGACAGCAGGTCCACAGGGCTCCGGGCTAAGGGTTATGGGGTTATGGGCTACGGGTGCACCTGCATCTCCGCCTTCACCTCTCCATCTCCATTACGGCAGCTCCATCTCCGTCATCTGCATCCCGGACGGAATGTCAAGACGGATGTCTCGCTTTTGATGTTATGCAGGCAACTTGCCTTCAACCTCGTTCCACGTCCTAGTCCTCATCCCCACACCACCACACCCACTCGTCCTCGTCCTCGCCACGTAATCCTTGTAGTCTTCCTCATTCTCATCCTCATTTTCGTCCTTCTTCTAGTCGTCAGCGAAATTAATACTGAAATCCATTTTCCATTTGGCAGTCAGCGCCTCTTTTCTTTTTTTTTTTTTTTTTTACCGTTTGTCGTTCTCCATCTCGCTTGCACACTGCCCATGGGCGTAGCATGGCAGCTGCAAGGGGGACTGCGGCTGGGAGGTTGGGGCGGCCACGGCCACGACGGATGGTGAACCGCCCCGGAAACCCCCAAAGCCATCCAAGCAGCCAGAGAATTCGGTGCAATGGAAATAGTCATTTTGGTGGGGCGAGCTCGGGTTGGTTGTGCAACTAACTGATATAGGATGACATCCTTTTGGGGTGCACTGAGAATAAAAAGGAGGTATAAGGAATGAAAGAATAAAAGAAACTGAGAAAGTTAATTGTAATAAAACGGAATGGCGCTTAAAAAAGGAAATATATATAATAATATATGAAATAAAATATTATAAACAATTATTTTCTTTAAAAATCCATTACAATCCTATATAATTCCTGTTATTCCAGTTCCTGATATATTATCCTGGTACATTGTATCCACATGTCTTAAAATGAAATGCTAGAAACTTTCTAGTAGAAAGAGTTTTTTTTTTTAAGATTGAAATTTGTAGAAACATAAATACTGTCATAAAGTACCGGGTATTAATACATAGGTACATACATATTAATAATATGTATTATTATTATTATTATTATTCCTTGTGTTTTAGGGTATTTTTCTATTTAATATCCTATTATACGGTTAAATAGGCCCAAATAAAACTTTAATACATAATCTTTAATAAATATTTAAGCTGAATATTAAAAGTAGATACTCAAAAAATAGTTTTCTAAGGATTTTTAGGACACATTTTTTTAATAAAATGAAGAATACGTTAAAGTAAAGGTTATTTATACATACTTATAAGCCTAAACCCCTTATAATATTCATTATAGGCTTAAATGGTCCTAGATTTTAACTACCAAGTCTTTAAAAACCCTTAAATCTTTATTTTTTAAATTTTTTAGATAAAATTTCGAAAGATTGGTTATAAAATGAATATTTTAAATAATCAATAATATAAAAATAATCAAAGTACCGGTTATTTATACTAGTACTTATCCATATTTCTTATTTCAATATCCCCTATAAGGTTAAAAGGTCTTAAAAATTGTTTTTTCTTAATAATTTTAATAATTCTCAATAATTTTTTTTTTAAATTTTTTATTAGAAAAATTTGCGTATTAACTTCTAAAAAATACAAGTGTATTTGAAGAAAACTATATATAACTTTACCCTGACTAATGTGCAACCATTTAATATTGCTTTCTTCGACTGAAACAATTTGGTATTCATCCCGCCCATCCATCCCCGAAAAAACCCAATTGAAAAAAGTACCGACTACGCCCATGGCTGGCCCCCACACTCCCCCCCCCCCGCGCCATGTACCTGTTTGATTGTGTCATCAATCTCACATGTCGCTGCTGCTTTTTGCCTTCTGCTGATGCTTGATGCTTGACGCTTTCTTTTTGCCATTTTGCAATGTCCTTTTGGCCCCCCCCCCACTCCGGCAGGACTATGGGAGTGCTCGTTGTGTGTCGTTTTTGTTTATTGCTGAGTTGTGCTGTTGCAATTGAGATTTGTGCCACATTTTAGGCAAATTAATTTGAACTGCGACCTGAGAGCTGAGAGCGATCGAAGACGACGAGTGCGCCGTCACGATATGCTCGCCATCCCTTTCTGCTTCGTGGTGTGGTGTGTGTGTGTGTGTGCTTTTTAGACTCTTCTTTCTCTTCTTCTTCTTCTTCTTGCTATAGCTTTGATCAAATCGCATAGAATGGAATCGAAGAGTCGTTAGCTTAACGTTTCTAATTGAGTGCTCTCGAGCTGCTGAGTGCGCAAACATTGCACTGCAAACACTTAACCCTCCAACGCCCAAGGGGGTCATACACCCACACACACACATACACATCTATATATATATAACCTCTTCATAGCTGCCCCCATCGCACTATCCCCCTCTCCCTCACCCTCGTACAGTCGCACTCCTTCGTCCGATGCACAATCGATTCGGTTCACGCTTGGCTGAAGGATATTTCTGTGGAGGAGGAGGGAGGTGGAGGGAGGGGTCTCGGTTTTTCGGGCAGGAAGGACCAGTCCCAACCAGGCTAGACCCGGCCAGACCCGGCACACAAATCAGTTGCAGCATGGATTCCGGAATGGGGAAAGCACGAGTCTTCATACAAAAGAGTTTGCATTTTTTTTCTATTATTATTATGTTGCTCCAGGTAGGTGACGAAAGTTAAGAGGGATTCTGGCCAATGACAAGGATTTAAAGATTATTTTCTCTAGAATTTTAAAAAGAAACTTTAAAATAGTAAAATATTATGGTAATATATACCCGGTACTTGGTATACCTCTTATTCTTTAACCCTTGTCAGCCTTGTTTATTTTTATAAATTTTTACTTCCATTGAAAACATCAACACGTGGAGTCCGAAACGTCCTTGACATTAAAGCTGCCCCAGAGGCATCGACCGGCATTCGCAAGGACATTTCACTGTCAAGGTCATGACCTAGTATACTCGTGCAAAATGTTTATCGTCCTTGAAACGCCAGAGCAATACAGAAGCTTTTTTTGATAGAAAAATAAATAAAAGATAAACGTAATGGTCAATCATACAATTTTTGTAGCTTTTTCTCAAAAATGAAAGCTATCTTAAGGATATTACAAGTTAAATTATAGTACATTTTTATTAAATTAACCTAAGAAACTAAAAACATAAATATAAGATTAAAAACCCTATTTTTTGAATATATTAATACACAGTACTTTCGTCACTTAATATTTATAAACTCTAAAAGTTTCATATTTAAACTTAAATGTAATGTTAAATATAAGCTTTAAGATTTTAATTGTCATTTTTAATTACTTAAATTAATATTTACCAAAAATATTCAACCTTTTATTCAAATCGACTTGTAATCACCAGGTTCCTAACTGGCCTTCGTCACTCTATTGTTATTTCTTGAGTTTTATTTTAGTTTTTTTTTTGGCGTTTTTCTTGCATTATATTCAGTTACATTTTCTATGATATGTCATGCTTATCCGAGGAAATGCATATGTGCATACATATATGCATATTTATTTTGCCATCTGACCTTACATTTATTTGCATACGTTTTGGGCGTCTTGTGGCTTTTTCTGGGTAATCGAAGTCTGCGACGTTATACGAATTTCCATGCCATCTCAGTAACAGGTGCAGATACATATCTATGTTTGCTGAAATTAAGATACTTTTTATTTAAATTTTAATATTTGATAAGAAATCGAAGTAGATTAACTTTAAAATCTATGTATTTAAAGTCCTTTTTAGTATCTTTTTTAATTTAATTTTAAAGTTTGTTGTTTATGGCAACTAAAAAATGCAATCACAAGTGACAAAATAAATCCTAAAATCAAGGGTATGAGGGTCAAAGGTAAATATATTGAAAAGGAAGTTTATTCTGTTTTTTTTTTAACTCGATTTCAATAATAGGATGTGCATGTGACACTGCCGACCGTGTTGTTTGAATTGGTTTTTATTCGAAATTACAACAGAAAGTATTTTTCATATACATGCTTGTACATTTATTTAGCAAATGAATGCCACTTGCGTAAAAACATTGCGATTTATCTGCCTGTAAAGGTAAAAAGAAAAAACAAATAAATGCAGGTGACATATTGAAATAGTGGAAAAACCTGTGATTTCCTGGATCCACAAATAATTATCCATGTGTGCCTTGGCATTAGGGTGGTTCTCAGTAGGTTGGGAAATTTTCCATTGTTTGTAAGTTATATTTAAAAGTACAAATTTTATTCCATTTTTGTTAGAATTCCTAATGAATTTTAGCAGAAAACACTATAAAAGCACCTAAAACAGACAAAGAATATACCGAGAGTAGTACCGGCTATCATATAGCCCAGAACCTAAAAATAGATCTTCAAAACATTATTGATAATAAATA